CGGGTGCTTCCTATATAAAGATTTTGCGTTTCGCGGGTTTCCTCCGTGTCCAGATTCTTGGAATACCCATTTTTAGAAGGCATTCCAAGAATGAATCTGGACATGGAGGAAATCCGCGAAACGCAAAATCTTAATATAATAATCTATCAATTATTGATACACTATTCTAGTTGTTAATCTTAAGTCCTTAAGTGTTATAATAATGAGAAATTCTCTTTAATCAAAATGCGTTTATTCATATAGATCTTGTTAATATAAACGAATCAATTTTTTTAGTGCATTTTTTTCAAATTGTTCTATTCGAGTGCTATTGTTATCATTCAAATTTAATAATAGATAATTTCTTTCATTTTTTATTATTAAATTTATTTATATTTTTATTCATATCTTTTTTTTTCAGAGCTATTTCACACCGAGCGCTCTCATGTCCGTGCGTTAAAAGTGCTTTCACACGTCTTCCACAAACCTTTGTTGGAGTCCCAAGTGCTACCGTTAGATCAGATTCAATTACTTTTCTCTAATCTGGATGAAATGTTGATGATACATTCACACTTTAATCAAGCGATGAAGCGAAAGAAAAAGGAAAATCCATGCGTGAGTGATGTAGGCGAACTTCTGTTAGAGATGTTCGACGGTGATGCTGGTGAGATCTTTGAAAAGGCTGCGTCGACTTATTGTGCTAAGCAGCAAGTTGCTTTAGATGCTCTCCGCGATCGTCGGCGTAAGGATTCTAAGTTAAACGCCTTCCTGAACGACATAGAAGCAAATCCGTTATGCCGCCGGCTTCAGTTGAAAGATCATATATTAACTGGCATGCTGCGACTCACAAAGTACCCGTTGCTCTTTGAAAATCTCGCCAAGTACACGCCGAACAATAATGAAAAAGAAAAAGCAGCTATATTGCGTAGTCTCGAGCGTAGTAAAGAGATACTAAGTCGCGTGAATCAGGCGGTGAAGGAGGCCGAGGATCATCAACGACTTACAGAGATTCAACGAACGATCGATCGATCAGCCTTCGATAAATTTGATCACCCGACCGTACAAGAGTTCAAGAATCTTGATATTACAAAGCGCAAGTTGATTTATGAAGGACCGCTGCAGTGGCGACGTACTGAGCCGAATCGATCGATACCAAATCGTTCAGTGCCGAAACCAGTTGATCTGCATGTAGTGCTGCTCGACGATACGATTTTCTTTTTGCATCGACAAGACGATAAATATCTGCTTAAATTTATCAATACGACCAACCAGGCGGGGAATTCCGTGCTGAGTCCGATTGTGAAGTTATCCACTGTACTAGTGCGTCACAATGCCGCTGAGAAAGATTCCCTCTATCTTGTTAACACTTCAGAAAATGGTGCGCAGATGTATAATTTAGTGGCACCGTCTTCGGCAGAACGAAAACTCTGGTGCAAACACATCTCCGAAGCTGTGGAGGCTTATAAAGCGCGTGATCGTCACGACAGAAGATCAACGCCGTCCGCTACATTGGCGGAGGAGCCAATGCATTCAATGGAAGACGCATCGCCTTCCGGAATGGAAACGGATGGTATAAATATCGAAAAAGATCAGCCGGAAGATCGAGAATTGAGAGATCTTGGACAAAATACTGTCGGCATGCAAGAGCATGATGAAGAAATGCCGGAAACCACTATCACGGGAACTCCTACAACTGAACATATACAACAGCGGATACAATCAACTGAGTCGTCAACAACAGGTTGAAAATTGCTATATTTATTATGTAGATATCATAAGTTTATTTTGTGATGCAATAATTTAAATCAAATTTTTCAAAAAACTTTTTACACTTATTATTAATAATAAACTATTATTAATAATAAACTATTTACACTTATTAAAAATAAATGAAGAAGACCATATTCGGCCAAGGCGAATCTTGATGCTTAATAATATATTATGAATTTTTACAATTCAAATTATGCGGCGATTACTCACCGCGATATATTCTCAGTCTTGAAATGAATCTTCATAGACTGAAGCTGGAAACATAATGCTATAAATTAAAGTTGTATTACTTATCGTTAAAAATAATAACATGTTGATTGAAATTTACTTAAAAGATAGATTTTAAGAATATTAATATGTATTTTATAAAATCTTAAAATGGTTTATAAAATCGTTTAAAAGTTACTGTAATTATTAGTTACTATGTCACGTGAAAATTAGTGAAAAATTGCGACATTAAACATAGGGCTACGTTTATTTAACGCTAACAATGTCATTATAGTTTTAACATTAGACAAAATAAAAATAGGATTACACAATAGCGCTAACAATGTCTTACAAAATGTATCCTTAATTGCTAAAAAAATAATTTAAAATAATGATTGGACTTTTTTAAATTGCTTATCAATCTTAAAAATAATTTAAAGAAAAGGAAACATGTACTTACTAGCTTGTTACAAAGATATTAATTAAAAATTAAACGATTAATTAAAAATTAATGTTGAGTTAATTTATATACAGAGTATATCAAAAGTCTGGAAACGGTCTAATATCTCGATAGCAAAGCATTTTTGAAAAAAATGTTTCAGACAAAAGTTGTTGAAGAAGTTAAAAAGATCTATTTACTGATCATATCCGCTTTACTTGAATGGCGTTAGGATCAAATTGATTTTTTTTAATGGGCTACTATATTTTTGATGCCAAAATCTAATAGCTGATGTTAAGAGCTTTTCAAAACATAATAAAATTATTTATCATTAAGTATTTTTTGAATTATAAGACTGAAGGTATCGCCGACATTAACATTACGCAAGATGTCTGACTTTTTGAATATTTAATATAATACATTATATATAATATATTATATTCGTTCAAGCGACGTTCAACTGATATTTTAAATTTTTGGCTACGTAGCTCTATTTCTGGGTGCCATCACTCTATAGAGGCGCTACATCTGCTGGCAACATTTTACAAGGGAGTTGGACTATCCTGGTTTGATAACCATCGATCGAATATCTTGTGTAATGCTAATACTGGCAGTAGTGTAACTTTAAAGCATCATAACTCAAAAAGTACTTAATGAAAAAATATTTTCTTATAGCGTTTTGAAAAATTCTTGACACCAATTATTACATTCTGGCATAAAAATAGGATGTTCTATTTTAAAAAATCAGTTCGATCTTGATCTGAATGCCATCCAAGGCGTCATCAAACGGATGTGATTAGTGAATAGATTTTTTAAACTACAGCTTTTATCTGAAATATTTTTCTCAAAATTTGTTTTCAATATATTCGACTGTTTTCAGACTTTTGAAGTATCTTGTATGTTTATATACTGCTTCGGATATATATTTGTCATTCCATCGAAATCTGCTTATTCTTTTGGAATTTTATTATATTATATTTAAATTTGTTGTATCTTTTAACAACAAAAGAAAATTCTTGAGTTTGTTCTACCTAAACGATTAGGATCCATGAAAAGAGGACTTGATAAGGACTTTGAAAAATATTCGCTTTGAAAATTCCAATATTTTATTACTAAATTATTTTCCCTTTTTGTAATTCAACTTATCTTTACAATCAAGAGACATGACAGTAGTGTCTATAAGTATAGTAAAGTCTGTACTGAACGCAGGAAACAGTGTATTTTTACTTGAACTATCGAGTTGATTGGAAACATCATGACGTAATAAGACAACGTGAAACGTTGCGCATAATGGCGATAGCATATTGGAAACCAATCAAATTTGGGTCTAAATTCATTCATCTACTGCACATTTGCGGAAACATTTGTACTTTTACACTATAGGAAACACTATGATATTTGAAAAACAGCTAGGCGAACGAATTTTTTAATGGACTCAGTCGATAGCTTAGGGTCTCATTATGTAATGAAAATGTCTACTTTTTGATAATCATTTACCATTACTTCTATTTCTTATTGTTGAGTTTTCAAATGTACAATCCTATAAGATTTTTATTGTTTATATTACATCGCCTGAAAAGAAGACGTTTCCATATATATATATATACTGATTATTGCGAAGAATATTACTAAGGTTTTAGTAGTCTAAAGGCTTAGAACGCTCGTACGGAACATAAGAAATCCGAGTTCGACTTCCGGCCGAGATAATATTTTTCACATATAAATAAATAATAAATTTATTTATTTATTTATAGTTTTTCAACATACTTTTCTAATAGGATGCCTGATTGAGCATCAAATTATTAAAATTATTAAATTGTCAATTTAATTTATTATTACAGTAGTTGCGTTTATAAATCCGAAAAAACAATTTGCCGTGTAATTCAAATGATTATAAATATGTTCATATATATTCATGTGGTACATATACAGAGTGTCTCCTAAAATGGATCGAGGCCACATTGGAGGCGGAAAATGGATCAAAAGGAACAAAAAATTCTTATACCATTTTGAGATACTGTAATTTTCAAATTAGAAAAGGAAACGTCTAAGCCAATATGCGGTTAAGCCGCATCGCGCGTAAGACGACCCACACTCGAACAGCGGCAGCGGTGGCATGCAGGGAGAGGGAAGGAGCGCTTCGTCGCCTGGCACAGCCTGACCTATGTGTTTCGCCGCATCGCGCCTACACTATCCAAAAATCTTATTTTCGCTGAAGTTTTCCTTACACATTTCTTATCATTATAAATCACATTATTTAGCACGTTAAGTACGTTTTAACACAATTATAGATATGTTAAGTGATTAATTAGAGCACTACGCAAAGCGTATGTTGATCATCGTGATATCTTTCGTTTGCTTTATTATATGATGTTGATATTTAATTACGTTTCGAGACATACTTCGTTCGTCGCTTCGTTTTATGCTATATTTTGCCGGAGTTTTATTTTTGATGTGTTAATGCAAACTTAAACATCTCATTAACGTATATATTAATAATCTTTTCAGTTACAGAAAATTCAAATTTTATTCATCAGTGAACATTAAAGATTAATAAAATTTAAGAACGTCTCTAACGGTGTACAATTAAACTTGTTAAACGGCAAGAAATATGTGAAAAAGAATCTCAGTCAAATGTGTCATTATACATGGAAAAATAAGAGGCTCCGCACAATAAAAGGAACAGAGAACAAAGAACAGAGAATAAGAATTTCAACCTATCAGAAACTGTGTATTCCACAATGCATGATTGATTTCTGATAGATTAAAATTCTTATTCTCTGTTCTCTGTTCCCTGTTCCTTTTATTGTACGGAACCCCTAATACATATGGATTTCCAATGTAGGGACTATTTATACGCGAGCTTATATTATAATTTCAAGTGTATACGCATTCAACTACACACACTTCAGCTAAAATAACATTTTTGGATAGTGTAGGCGCGATGCGGCGAAACTCATAGGACCGCCATGCTACGCTGTGCCAGGCTGTGTGAAGCGCTCCTTTCTCCTTCCTATCGCCGCCGCCGCTATTCGAGTGTGAGCCGTTCTACGAATTCGCGCGGCGCGGCTTAATCACATATTGACTTAGATATTTCCTTTTCTAATTCGAAAACTATAGCGAGTATGGTACTATACTCAAAATGGTATAAGAATTTTTTGTTCCCTTTGATCCATTCTCCGCTCCCAATGTGGTCCCGACTCATCTTAAGAGACACCCTGTATATATAGTTGGGTGATTCTTTGGAAAATCAACATGACATCTCACCTTCGATATTGTTTTAGAAATGCAGATAAAGTCCATATCTTTTTCTGTGAATTATTAAATATGCTTCATATAAAGTTGATGTCGCTGTTTCTTTTTATTATTGGATTCTTATTCTTCCACAGTGAATTTCTGGCTAACACAAGACTAATTTTATAGAAGAATTTGGGCCCCAGATGAACAATTTTGAGACATGCCTTAAATTTTAAGACATCGAAAGGAAATCAAAAATTTCCCAACCAGTAGTCCAATAAACCCAACTTTATAGGAGAAGTTTCCTGAGTGTCAAAATTATCCAAAGTTTGCTATTATGATCATGTACCATTAGTCTTATCCGATTTCTTTGCCAGAAAGTCCAGAGAACTTCCTTGCGGTAACGGCGATAACGGATTGCACCAAAGATATTGAAGCAATGTCTGAAATGTATTTGATACAATTCATTAATCTGGCTAAATCCGTGGTCGCGATCATGTCAGAGAAATTCGGATTTGCTTATAATGATGGCAATGTCTCTGGAGTTCGTCTTCCAAGAGGAAGATGGACAAATGGCAAATGTATCAATTGGAGTAAACCAATCATTGGTACAGAGTCAAATCGCGATAAGACTATGGACGATGTAGAAAATATTTTAAAAACCAGTCACATAAATATTGGTTAGCTAGACTTGGAATGAGACTCTAGTTTTACAAGAGTTTCCCCCTCAGCACATTTAAGTATATATATCATGCCATTATAAAAGAAAACTCACAAACGAAAGATGGAAACACGTAAAAATACTGAACTGCAGTCTCTTTGTCAATCAAATTGTACATTAATAGAGCATCTTGCAGTAAAAAAAGTATTTGGTTGTCCCACTGATAGAGATGTTGGAGAACACTCACGTTCAGATTGCGAAAGATGTTCACTTTTTATATTCCTGCAGAAGCGCGCGTGACCAATCACAATAAATATTGTGATACTTGTGAGCAGAATTATATAACCAGATTATTAAACAATAACATTCAATAAATTTTGATTATTTTGAAGCTATAGGGAACATTTATTATTAGAGCATTAGACTT